GTGCTTGTGCACATCCGTGGAGACTTGGGGGGGAAAAAACCTTTTTGCTAGGGGACATGGGCGGGTGCCGGAACTACCACCAGAAACGCGATCAGACACCCGCCCTTGCCTCGCGGTTTCCGGAAACTAGTACCTCCGAGATACTAGTTTTTTGCCGCGCATCTTCAAAGGGAAGCCTCGGTTGAGCCACAGGAGCTCTACGCTTCCCAGATGTGGCGGTGAGATCGTGACTGGAAAATCCGCCTATCTTCCATCCCTGTAGCGTGGCTAATGCTCCATGTGACCGGGGCCTAAGCAATTCCTTGAGGCTTTCTATTTTAATAATGATGTTTGAAATAGTTCAAGATCAGACTGTCATCTAACCAGTTACAGCAACTCAGACAGATTCATTAAGAAAACCATTTATCCAGTCTCATTCCAATGACCCTGAAAAGGCAACAACATGTTTGAAACAAAAATCTTACAAATGCAGAGGACAGTATCCAAAAAACTACACAATAGGATTTGGGCTTACATTTTTTGTGTAAAAGTCCTTAAACCTTAAATACACAATCTAAACTGTGCATCTTGTTCACAGAGGCATAATAAATGAACAATTCAAGACAGTTCACACATTGATGTGTCTCCAAAACAGCACAGAACTTTCTCTTTGTGTAAAAATAATGCCATCTTTCAAGGACATTCCAGGATAGCAATCTTTTGAAATGCTGATTGTGTAAAACAAGCCTTGGGTTAATTATGCATTTCATTCTTTTCTACATCAGAGGCAATCACTTGAAGCTACTTTGGCAGAATTAGAAGGTCGCTATTGTGCCCAGCTCCTGCAAATGCAAGGGATGATCAGCAATGTGGAGACCCAAGTGCACCAGATAAGAGAGGACATGGAATGCCAAAATGCAGACTATAGGGAACTTCTGGACATTAAGATCCGCCTGGAAAATGAGATTGAGACCTACCGGCGTTTGATTGATGAAGAAGGAAGGTAGAAAACAAAAAAAAATAGGCAAAAAGGAGTACACAAGCCAGATTTCTCATAAATCGCTGATAACTTTGGGAAATTTCGCCAGTTTATCTGTAAACTGTCTTTTGTTGTTGTTCAGTCGCACAGTCGAGTCCGACTCTTCGTGACCCCATGGACCAGATCACGCCAGGCCTTCCTGTCTTCCGCCGTCCTCTGAAGTTTGCTCAACTTCATGTTCGTTGCATCTATGACACTGTCTAACCATCTCATCCTTTGCCGTCCCCGTCTTCTTTGACCTTCAATCTTTCCCAGCATCAGGGTCTTCTCCAGTGAGTGCTCCCTTCTCATTTGGTGGCCAAAGTATTTCAGCTTCAGTTTCATTATCTGGCCTTCCAGGGAACAGTCAGGGTTGATTTCTTTTAGGATTGACTGATTTGATCTTCTTGCAGTCCAAGGGACTCTCAAGAGTCTTCTCCAGCACCATAGTTCAAAAGAATCTATTCTTCGGCGCTCGGCCTTCCTTATAGTCCAACTCTCACAGCCATACATGACTACTGGGAATACCATTGCTTGGACCATGCGTATTTTTGTTGGCAGGGTGATGTATCTACTTTTTATCATGCTGTTCATGGCTGTTGTCACAGTCTGCGGTGATCTGGGATCCCAGGAATGTGAAGTCTGTCACTACTTCCACGTCTTCCCCTTCTATTTGCCAAGGAGTGATGGGGCCAGATGCCATGATCTTAGTTTTTTTAATCTTAATTCCCGCTTGTGATTCATCCAGGCCAGCATTTCGCATGATGTACTCTGCATATATATTAAATAAGCATCCTTGTCGTACTCCTTTTCCTA